TTTTGATTCTTACAATTCATTTGCCCGTGGGCGCCTATAAACCCCTTCCCATTTCTATTTTTAAATCTATATTCTATCATATATTTTTATAATTTTTTTTAGATTGATTCTTACAATTCATTTGCCTGCGGGCGCCCATGCCCCCTTCCCATTTTTATTTTTTTAATTTAACTCTAGTTCAATTATTTAATAACATGTTTTTGAATTTTGATAACTAGTTAGTGCCTTATTAAAATTTATTGTTTTGTAATCGTACTATTGTAAATCAAGCCATGAGTTTAGGAATGCTAGCTGATATTGTAGACTAGAGTCTTCAATATTTGTTTTCAATGCACATAATTTTATACATTTTTTTTTTTTTGATTCTTAAAACTCATTTGCCTGCGGGTGCTTAATGCTTATGCTCCCCTTCCCATTTTTATTTTTAAAATTGATTCTATCAGATTTTTTCATATTTTTTTTCAAGTATCCTGAAGTTCGGTGTGACACTTTCATCTTTTGAATTTCCTCTGCTCGAATAACTTTATGTGGATATCCTAGATTAAAGTAAGTTAAATAATGCTTCAAATAAGTTTTTTATGTTGCTTAAACATATTTTGAACTAATATATTATATTTAAAATATTTAGTTTGTACAGATGATATAGATTTTTTTTTTCACAAATTATTACTTAAAATTTAAAACAAAAAATAAAATAAATGTTTTCAATGCAAAAGTACGTATTTCAATACTTGTAGATATAGTGTATAATGTACAATATATAATGTGTAATGTATAATTACCTTTATATTGTAGACAATTTAGCATAAATAAATAATATTTGGCATAATTTTGATATAATTATCCAATGACCGCTTGACAATGACTAATGAAAATAGTGCACGTTCTATTTCAATAATACAATATTAGTCTTGACTGAAGGCAAAAAGTTTTTGTTTTGACTACGCTTAATCAGTGTGCGTGTTTTCCATAAAATATAAAGGTTTTAATTTTGATTAGTCATAATAAAGCGGCTTTAGGCGCTTTAAAGCAGTTTCGCTTTACCAGTGTGCGGTCACCCTTAGGTTTGTGCGAAGTATTTAAAACAATATATTATTAATCTTTATATTTTATACATTATATGCACCTCACATTTATTAGTATTTACACCTATTTTAGCTTAGTTTATTCCTTGGATGTAAGTTTTAAATATTTTACAATTATATATTTTACTGTAATACTATTATTTTTTACTATAATAATTAATAATACACTTTAATATAAATTGGTTGCTGTCATGGCTCACAGTCTTAAAACGTACTATTTTCTGGATGTTTTTAGAATGGATTATGATAAAAAAAATTGCGCAGTGGTCGTGTTAGTCACTTAACCAACCCGTGTGGCGTAAAATAGGAATTATTTACGTTTTTCGAAAAACATATGCAATACATTTAACGATGAATCGTTAGAAATAGGGATAAACGCCAAAAGTTTAAATGTAAATTTAATTCAGAATAACAAAAAAAAACAATTTCCAAGAGGAACACGATTACCGCTAATATTAAAGTCTTAATCAGTATCGAGATTAATAATATAACTATTGACATTCATTGTAGATAGTTTTTTTCTTATGTACCTTATGTCCTATATGAAGTGTTTATTTCTGAAAAAAATCCTAACAATTTAATACAATAACGGATAACTCAATATCGAGTATCGACTAGGCACCTATCATATAATGGTGCATATAGATTTATAGCAATACAAGTTTAAAATTAGTTAAAATATTTTATATTGATAAAATCAAATTAATAAATGGAAAAATAATAGAAATTATATCTTACACTGTTATAATTTAAATTCAAAATTATAACTATTTTGGTTTTCAACGAACAAATTGTAATTTGTAAATAATAGACCTCTTTGATATGAAAAATTGTAACATTGTTAATCTGTGCATTTGTCATATTGAAATAATATAATATCTTTTATCTATTCAAATTGTCAAAATCATTGCATCATCATTTTTTCATTTAAATACCTACAATATATAATACATGAAATCCAATAGTTTCTTAATCAATACCATTATAACCTATCATATATGTGTAAATGTTTTAAGGTACTAATTTTGTATTATTATTATTGTAGTTTGGTATTACTTATTACTACTAATTCATTAGTATTTCGAAAAAAAAATAATATTATTTACAGAAAGTTGTATCTGTAAAAAATGAACGATGTATGAAATGCATAATATTTATTCAGTACTTAATAACATTACATAATGTATATAAATATAAAGTGTTTCTTGTATTTTAATTTCGGTAAGTTATTTATTAGTGGACTTCCGGTAAAAATTTCTGAATGGTGAATCCGCCACCTGTTCTGCCTAAACCAAGAACGGGCGTATCATAAGCAACCCTTAAATACAAGGCGACGGATAGAATAAAGAGATTGGTTGAGCACCATTTTGATGGTGCTACGACCCGACTTGCCGTTTCCGGTGTTGGAGACCGGTGAATTCCGGCCCGATAATATTTTAGGTATAGGTTAGTTGCGGCCCGAGTAATTATCATTATCTATGTACCTTGTACCTTACCTATAATATATATATATATATATATATACCTATTACCAAGGCTGGTCAAGCTAACGATTTTTTTCAACTCGATAAGTTAAATTATTTTAAAATAATAAAGTTAAGTTAAAAGTTACTCATATGTTTCGTTAACTCTTTAAGATAAACGTTAATTTAAAAAAAATAACTTTTAAGTTTTTGTCCTAAACAATAGTCAAATTTGTATTTATATAACACAACATTTTTTTATTAATATATGAATACTTTTAATTTTTCGACATTATTATGATTATTGTATTATACCAATACTTTTATTTTTTATTATTTATTTTTTTTAAGACAAATATTAATATAAGTACGACAATCGGACAATTTATACTAGAAAATACGTAATATTGTGATGTTTATATACTATACATGGACATAAAGTATATAATATATATATGTAATATATACATTATTGTATGCCCGCAATTCGTACGTACCTCTCATAAACCCGGGCCGCAACTCGTACGCTATTTAGGGATTGGGCCGCAACTCACCAACACCGATTTTGATTGGTGCCAAAAAAGAACCGCCGCGACGAACGACTCTGCTTCAAAAGTTCTTCTCCTGATTGGGATAATTGTATCATGCCGTTATTTTAATTCGTTCATTTTCATGCAGCGATACAAATGTGACCGTTTAGTGTCCAATGTATTTCAAACGTATGAAATTCAATAAACTACAATAACATAAATAAGTAAAACCCAACGATCGCGGTTTCACATTACGGTATAGTAAGTTTGATATTTCTTGGGGATTGAGCCCTAAAGTCCCTCCTAGCTACGGCACTGCTATAACCCATACAGAAACAATTGTAACAATAACAATTATTGTAATATTATCATTCCACGATTTTTGTATTTGAGAACTTGTAACGCTAACGTGAAGTTTGGTTACCCCGGTATAGAAGGAAACCATCCGACTCGACGGTTTACCAAACCAAGCCACCGGGTCATCGAAGTTGCGGTGCGCCAAATTCAGACAACCACTAGAACCCAATACTAATTGAATGACATGCCGGGGCCTCGTGATCGAGCACGTTGGTACATTTAGACCGACGGCGGCCCTCCGAGGAATGGCTTTTAACATCATGTAACCTGAGTCCTTGTCAATGGACAAGAGGAGATCCGTGTTTTCACCGCCACCATCATGAAAGTTGACCAAAGTCTTGTCCTCGCGGTTGTCAGTTTCAATACCATAATTTTCAAAAAATGTTGGGTGACAAAATCGAGGTTTAAATAAAAATAAAATGGTTTTATAAACGATGTGAGATTTTATGGTCAATAAATAAAATGTCCGATATTAAAATATTGATATTGTATTTGTGGTTGCTTGGTGATGTCAGTATGGCGCAAATATTTTAATTTTATTACTGGCTCTTTGAGCGTCGATGGGGAAGACCCCCAGACTCCCCGTTTTAGCTGAAAGTGGATACCGATTTTGGGGACAGTGTCGTTGGAACTATAAAAGTCACGCCTGCAGGTTGATCAAAGCTTAAAAGTCGGAGGAGGTGATAAGTATTGGCCCTTTGGAGATCTATTTTGAAGGCGTGGGTATGTTGAAAGCCGTGTATGAGGGTTGAAAGTATGAAAGTTTAAACAGTCCAGTCTTGTATTTTTATGAAACTTGAAATCAAAATTCTGAAGCCTTGTTTGAGTATCTAGCAAGTCAGCCACGTCAAGTGAAAGTCTTATAAGACTAAGTTACGTAGGTAGGAAATCCGACTGCGTCGCATTGCGGAAAATGTGAGCTAGCATGCTAGGTATAGACACATCGCGGACACGACGGTGGGTGGCTGTAAGCGAAAATAGTATTTTTCTTGTTCAAATAAGTGTATAAGTATGTAAGTCCAAAACAACGTTTGTGTGTTAATCAAGTTAGTCGTCACCTACAGAGTTTGGTACCAGGTTTACGGTTTATACGGTCCAGTCTTGTGCTTTTATGAAAGAAAAAAAGCTTAAATCTGAAGCCGTATTTAAGAGTCTAGCAAGTTAGTCACCCCAAATGAAAATAGATTGAAGTTAAACTAGTCACCTTGTGGCAATCCATTAATAATAATAATCCGATAATCCATTAAAGTTTCAAACTCATCAAATTATGAAATGAAAAATACAAAGAATAGGCTATTACGGATGTAGATATTTCTATCTAAAGCCGTGGTTCCAATTAACAACCACCAGGAGCGTTAGTAGTAGTTCACTTTTTCGTATGTTAGATAAGAACTCTCGTACACCGCGTTCTAACATTGCGTATTTGCGTAGTATAGCCCGATGTGCAACCATTCTATCTAAAGCCGTGGTACGGACTACGGGGTAGCTACAGAGCTTAGATCATTCTACTGTACATGATCTAAGGTGCAACAGAATTATTTTTTTTTCATTTTGTGGTACCTCGAAGAGTATTGATAAAACTCAACCATATTTCATATTGAACTTCTCTGATAATTAATGATAATGGGTGTTGTGTACTTGTGTACTTGTGTAAATACTAAATAGGTTTATGGCATTTGGCAATATCAAATATGGCTCTGTGCTCCCGGCCATAGTTCATTTATAAAATTATTTATTTTAAGTTCCGTAAAAATGTTATACAGTGAAATCTATTCTGTGACACGGCCATAGACGTATTATAAATATGTATTTCTTTTGTAAAATTTGTACGAAGTATGTGTATGGCTTAACGTTTACTTCTTGTCACTTGGGTAATGTATACACTATACCATACTTCAAGTATACCTACTTGAATTACTAACAACTGACAACTGTATAATTAGGCATAACTTACTATTTACTTCTTATTACTTAGAAGTCAGCATTTACTCTTAGTACTCTATAGTCGACTCCGCACTTGCCCATCGTGACGTATCAATATAACCTATTGTAGCTTGAGTAAAGTTCTACTGACCTAATTCTAAGTCCACAATAGAAGCAGTACTGTGCCAGATGACATATACTGCAGTGCAACATCATTTTCGTAATTGACCCTCCTTGATGACAATTTTGACTATTCAGTAATAACTCATTTTTAATTCGGGTAGGTTAAGCCGAGTTCAAATTGTTTTTGTTTTTGTCTTATGAGATACTAAAAGTTGTACTAATTCTTGTTCATTTTTAAAATGTCCATGGGCGTACAGCTTTGATACATCACAACCTATAACACATTTAGCTTTGAAATTTGAAATTTGAATTGTCTTGAGTACTCAATTTCAATAGTTGTTAATGTGGTCTGATCTAAAGCCAGCAAACATGGCTTATGGAAACCAATGGATGAATCCAACATTTTATAAAAACATGACCAATGAACAAGGTAGGTATCAAACAACAAACAGTGTCTTAAAGGTTAAGTTCAAGACAAATTGATATCTTTTAGTGGATTGGGCAAGTTTGGCTCAACAATGGATACAAATGAAAGAAACTTCACCCGTCATATCCCCTGGACAACAAGTAAAAATCCCGCTTTCTGGACATAGTTTACTCAAACACGGTCAGCATGTAGATGTATCAACTCAGAATCCTTCAAATCTTGCAGCAGTAACAAATAAAATGCTGAGTGATTATAATATCTCTAGTAATGTTACAAGTTAATAATTTACCAATAAATGTTGTAAAAATCTTTATACCTACAATTTTCATTTTCTAGGAAATAATATCGAAAAACCAAGAGCTTGGAATACATGGACTTTGCAGCAACAACAATCAAATTGGAATTGGGTATCTTCTTCGACAGCTCCACCAGCTAAAGAACTTATTACAGAGTCAGTTAATTCACTTAGACCATTGTTTGTACCTCCTATATTATCTGAACCACCTCCATCTTTCCCAATGATGACACCAAACATACCATTTCCTCCGAATGTAAGTTTTTAATATTTTAATGATATGAGTTATTGTTACTTATTTATAATATTTTAGAATTATTGGGCAGGTCCTAATACTTCAGTTCCACCGCCTTCTGAATCAGATCATTGGAATAAACTTAAAATGATTTCCAAAGTTGATGATAGAACTCAAGATCCATCATTTATTGGTAAGTATGCTTTTATATTATTTTATTATTTATAAATTATAACTAAATCAGCAACATAGTAAAATCATTTATTGTTACATAACATAATATTTTTGGTTTATAATTTATAATCAGATGCTGCAAAACGAAAACAATTACCTGCTTGGATTAGAGAGGGACTTGAAAAAATGGAAAGGGAAAAACGACGTAAAATTGAACAAAAACAATCGTTAGGCGAACCTGATAATTCTAATTCTATAAATGAAAATGTTACTCAAGAATTGCTCTATGTATTTAACATTTTTTATTAATTCTGGTACAGTTTTTAATGTTAAAAAATACTTTGATAGTTATGTTTTTTTTAGTCGCCAATCAACTTTGATCATGAAACTCAGACGATCGATGATGATATTGAACTAGTGTCTTCCAATTACATCAATGAACCTAAAAAAACTGAGTTTGTGAAAAATGACCCTTCTCCTCTCATTCCACGTAAGACTAAAGCTCAAATCTGGGAAGATACGGTAATACAATTTTTAACATTTACTTGTATTGAAACAAAAATAGTTTTAAGTAATTGTTTCTTATATCTGTATGTTAAAATATTTATAGTAGTAAATCTATTGGAATTAAATTATTTCAGATGTTAAGTCTACGAAAAATTTTAACAAAATTGTTAATGGAAGTTACTAATGATATGATGTTAAGTGTAGTTAAAGAGGTGCTAAAAACTACTCTACAAACAGGTAATATTTATTAATAATTATTATTATGTTCATAAAAAAGTTTGATAGCGTAAGTATGTGAGTAATCAAATGCAGAAATACAATATTATATTTATATATTTTTAAATGTATTATTATCAAAATTCCAATATGCCATATAACAGATATTCGAGGAAATCAAAACCAAACATCATTAGCTGGTAAGCTGGGTAAGTTTTTGAAATTATTATATGACTTACTGTATAATATCCAATTTTACATTAATGTGCTAATTCCATTGCTTGAATTTGAGTTAAAATATACTTATTGTGAAGTTATAGATCATCCATAAATCAATAATATATAATTATATATTGTTTATTTGTAGTATTTAAATTGTTTTAATTTGAACCAATATTTTTATGTTATGCATCATCTACTAATACATTTTATTTGTAATTAAATTGCTTTAAATAAAATAATTTACTTAAGGACTCGGAGTTTATTGTTCAGAATCTGAGTCATCGGATGAAAGCGATGACGGACATCTCTCATTTGGTCATAAGCAACTAAAACAATATTCTAATGAAGCTATCCATGTAAATTATTTATTCATTTTGTTTCAATTGATTGATTTCATTTTTGATCTTCAAACATAACTGAAAACATTTTATAATTTGTTACATATTTAGGAAAGAATATTGAAACGCCAACTTGAGTTCAGTAATATTGAAGCAAGGATACTTATGGAATTGGATCAACTAGAAGATAAAGAAAAACTTGTGAGGTCTAAGTTTGATAATAGTATCAAGCTGAGTGGAGAAATGAATGATATTGGTAGTCAGGTAGTGGAAAACATTCAGACAAAAGGTAAAATTATGTTTCATTCATTTAATAAAAAAAATCTGTGTATTGAACAAGTTTGTAGTTTAGTATTCAATATTCCAGAGTTAAAAATAATTTAAATAAATAAATAAGATTTTTGTTTTTAAAATTAATTTATTATTATGTATAATATTTAGGGTGTGTTGTGTTGTTTTATTTTTTTTTTGTTAATATCAACACCAAGTATAAACTATTATACCTATATTATGTAATAAAAATATTAATTTATTAATTTATTTTTAAAAACTTAAATCATATTAATTACAGTATTGAATTCATTGATCCTAAAGGCTAAAATAATGAGTTACTATAATCTTGTATTTTAGGGCTTAATGAAGATGTAGGATCTAACCAAAGTATTGACAAGAGCCATGATATAGTCAAAAAAGAATTACCTAATGGTTTGAACATTGAAAATGGATGTCAGAAAAATAAATCTAAATCTAAAAGATCATCAAGTTCTAGTTCATCAAGCAGTAGTAGTGATAGTATGGATTATACTGAACTTAAACACAACTATAAAAAAAACAATAAAATTGAATCAAAATCTGACAAAAAAACTTTAAAAGATAGTGTACAAAGAAAAAGTAGATCTCGTTCAAGATCAAATCGTAGTAGATCGCATTCAAGACATAGTAGTAGATCATCACGTTCAAGACATTATGATAGAAGATCTTCACATAGTTCTAGATCAAGACGAAATCGATCGCCACTATCACGTCATTCATATTCCAGAAAGTATAAGAGCAAAAGAAATAGTTCTTCCTGTTCAAACGAATTAAGAAGTAATAAACACCGGTACAGACAATAATTTTCTGGTCAAAATTTTATTTCAAGGGGTTAACATTTTTAGTTATTATTTTATTGATATAACTCATTAGATTAACACTTTTTTTATAATTCTAGGTTTAGTTCTTAATAAATTAAATTGTTCAATTGCACCAAAAACATGTATAAATTATTAATGAAAACTTATGTTCTATTCTCAATCATTAAACTTAAATTAATTTTGTATATTAGTAATGTATGCAAGACTTTTAAGTAATTAATACCTTAATCATTTGGTCTCAATGCTCTTACTTTTTTTTTGAGAATAACCATGGGGTTCTTTCTATGTAAATTGTCACTATTTCAGTTAAGCACATTTTATTATTTATTCTCTATTAATTCAGATTATAACTTGATAAGTTATAATTAATTTTAAGTTATAAATTGTATATATTTCATTTACTCTTATCACTTAATAAATTGTCAATCTCAAAAGTACTAAACGTTAGCCATTAGGTGATTGTATCAGTTATAATTTATAATACACAATTACCAAAATACATAAATTTATTAGTTTTTAGAACATTGTTGATATTTTGTTCAGAATTACTTAATCAGTAAACAAATAGTGATGGGAAATATTATTTACTCACAACATTAAGTCTAAAAATATTCTTTGTTGATAATAGTTTTTTTAGCTGGTTTAATCGGTCCAATCATAGGCATTATCCGGAAGAGGCCAAGTATAAGGAAGTTGTGTAAAAAAATACTTAACGTAAAAACATGTAAAAACCTTCAATATTTTTACTCTCAAATCTTTTAAGCTCTGAAATACAAAATTATACATATATATATATGTATATGATACGAGTAGTAATAGTGGAACCTAGCCATCATATTTTCATATGTTTATGAAATAAAATAAAATACATGCCTACAAATTAGGTCATATTTATCTTTTTAACTATTGGTTAGTAAATATAACTATTTCAGTACAGTTTATGATAAATGTTTTAATGTTGAACTTAACTCTAACCCGAAACCTGGAAACTCGAAACATAAATTTGATTTGATTTTAATAAATAATTTATTAGGAAACAAATATCCTTTTAATAACAATGTTTACACAATTGACGAACAAAATTAACTATTATTTACACTTAAATCTAGTTATCAAAACCTAACAAAGACTTTATTTTCCAAATCTTTGTTCATTTCTACTGTATTGTTCCAATAATTTGTAAAATTTTAAAAACGTGACATTGTAATGTGTTTTCAATGTTCTAGAACCCAAAAACAAAATAATTAATGTGTGATTATGCAACAGCATGCAAGTTATAACAAAATCTAAAATGTTTAAATATTCAACTTACAAAAATTCAGTGACACGGGTGTGCCAAGGTAATAAACCAAATGTTGTACATGACTTGCCACAGATGACAACCAAATCCGGTTCAACCATGGGGAATGTTTTATTAATCGCAAACTCTACTAAAGTATCTGAGAATTCTTCTTCTGTTCTGCACACAGTTCGCAAGGCGTTTACTAATTGTAATTTAGAATGTTTAGATGTCAATATGTTGACTTCAATTCTTGGTTCCCATTTATATCCTTGAAGTATCAAAATATAATATATAGTTGTACTATTTGTTAACAACTTATCCAAGAAACTTGCAACATTTATTAATACAGCAATATTCAATAATAATATTTACCATTAATACATTTTTTTGATTCAAATTTGATGTTATCGTTGAATTCTAATCCCCAATTGACTTTTGTCAATAAACTACTGTACTGATCTCTAAAAGCAAAAAACAATTCTTCTGGAGATATACCTAAAAAATAAACAAATCAATAATTTAAAATTTAAAAATGAAAAAATATAACAAATTGTATAAATAGTACACTCTGTCACACAGACGGTTATTCTGGGCCACCAATTTAAGGCCAAAACGGCTGAGAGGTAGATAGATTTTTATAATTAGGTACATATTTTAAAATTATTTACAGCAATTTTTATTTTATAAGAGCTAGAGGGTCCATATATATGTGCTGGCCAGTGGTGTAAGAAAATCCTTTTTTGTAATGTATATAGGTATAGTACCTATATACATTTTTTTTTCATTGTACATTTCTTCATTTTTAATATCAACAAATCTTTTTGAGTGATTTTTATAACTTAATTTAAATTATTCGGTTTTTATAAGCAATTATTAATAAATCGCAAGTATATAATATGGATAATATTTTAAGGAAAGTATTCAATACAGTAAAACAGAATTAAAAATGTACTCAAAATACTTGTTGATAGAATGTATTTAAAATATTATTAAATACGTACATGATTCATGGAAAAGTAGTTGAATACCAATACTTAAAATTTAAATACTTTATAACACTGGTATTGGCCCCTTAAAGCCGAAAATTATAGAGTAACTACATCAGTAACATCAGTACATCACACATGCAAAAAAACCACGAGTTTGATTCTAACACGTTACCGTTTTCATTGTGGTAAAAGCTGACGACGGGCACCTCTAGAAACAACGCCCAGGCCAGCAACTTGGCCAGATATTCGTAGAATACTTCCTCCTGGCACACGGACACCACAAGATGGTTGGGCAACTTTTTCAAACGGTACTTCTTGTATCCGTTGATGGAACGATTCTGCCAAGGATCCGGCTGTTTGAATATCGTCTGGTCGACGAGCCACGAATAAAACGCGTACAGAAAGTGCAAGAAAATTAGTAACGACGAAAACGCGAATTTTATTAACAGCGTTCTGTAAACTAAAAGGTTGCTCATTTTTACTGTTCTTCAATAACATTAAAAGATACAATGGCCGTCTGTCTAACCAACTTTCATCGCGGCATTTGAACCCAGACTAAAATAAAAAATAAATATGAATCGAAATCATAAATCGCTGTTTCTTTTCAACGAAAAAGCCGCAGATTTTGTTGATGTTCACTGTTGAGCGTGATAAACCATTATCTATGAAAATTTATCTGAGTTGTCAATGATAAAACCAAGGTTACAGTGTAACCACGTCAACAAGGTGAGTTTTTATTACTTATTTTAGCAAGCGTTTTTGAAAACATCGAAATTAGTAATTACCGCGATTTAAAATCCATATTATTCATAAATTTTATATATTAAGATATTATCTTAAATAGTTAAATCAGTTAAATCGTCGTAATTACGTCTTATTCGCTCGTTATTCAGTGTTTGTAAATATTTTTTATAATGTTTATGCAGTTTTAATTGCTTGACACTTCAGACCTTTTTTATGTGTTCATAATAGTAAAATACTATTACATATATATTAATATTATATTGGTATATTTTAAGTTTAGTTTATTAAAACCTGGTGGCTGGTAACCTATACGTGTGTGGTGTGTTGTGTGTATTATGCCCAATAGGTTGTAAAATTGAACGTAACGTACTACGTACCTATGAGTTTCGAGATTATCGACCTTATTAATCATTATAGTAGACACTAGACAGTAGTATTGGCGTAAGTTATTCATAACTCATTAATAAATAATAATGAGTCATTATAATTTTCAATTAATTATCTACTCGTTCAAAATAAGATTTTGATGTATAAAACATAAAGTAAGAGGTTCGAAAAAAGTTTGTAAAAATATAATTTTTTCACATTTGTTCTTTAGCTTTAATATTTTTTTTTAATTTTATATGTTTTATTTTTATTATGTGATTGTCAAGCTATCATAGTTTATACTAGCGGCTTTTATAATAATAAAAAAAAAAAAATATTTTTTTAAATAATGAGTGTTTACGAATCTGTTACTCGTAGAATAGCTATAACAACGGTCAACGGGTAGGTATAATTTCAGTTTTTTTAAATTTTTTTTTTTTGAAACATGTATTTCAACTAGTTAAGAATATTGGTGCACAACACAATTCGGGCAAATCATTATTTTTGAAGTTAAATTCTTCCGAAGTTTTGCGATTTTATACGCCGACAGGCGAGGGGAGCCACTACACTGTGACTGTATACTAAAATTTAGTAGGTAACTAAATACTGATGTTACTTAAATGCAGTGGCGTCATTTGTGGGATGCAAGGGTATGCAAATGCATCCCATGAATATTTTTAAACACACTTTTTGTGTAGATTATTTTATAAAATTATAAAACAAATAACAATAGTTTTGTAATTTTTTTTTGATTTGTCACAATATTTTGTGGATCACCAATATAACATGATATCTACACAGTGTAAATAACGATAAAACGTCGATAACCGTTACTATTTTACTAACTTACAGCGGGGCCTCAAATAGTCGGGTTCGTTAGTGACGTCTAGCGGGCGGCCGGGCCCCCACTATTTTATTACTCCATAGTCATCCGTTGTCGTGTTGTCGTTTCTTGTTTGTATCGCGATTAAATATATTAATAGATATTTTTAATCGTGGTTTGTACTGTGGTAATATTATAAAAAATATGGTATTGAACCTTTGAACATAGTTAATATACTATATATTTATATTATTACTGTCCGTGTCGTTCTTGAATCGTGACACGCGTTGAATTTTTATACTTAAACACCTGATAAAATATCTATATTCTATATATTTTATAAGATGAATAAAAAACGTGATACATCAGAAGCTTCTATCATGTCGAACTACTAAAATAATTTCCATATTTATATAATAAATATCTATAATACAAAATACCACAAGACACACTTGCTCGCCACTCATGCACATATTATAATATTTTAGATTTTGAAAGGAGTAATAATGTTAATTTTACAATGATTTTTTTACACCTTATTCTATCTGCTTGACAATGCTTATACTATGCTTTTTTGATTTTTGCTTTTCAGATTTGTAGCTAAAATAGAAAAACGATTTTCTTGTACTAATAATGATATTTTGATGGTTATGGACATTTTTAACTCCAACAGTAATCATTTTTTAAATTCAAATTCTATTTATCTTGAAAAATTTCTTAACCATTATAGGCATTTTAAAATTAATTCTATATATTTATCTTCTGAATTTTCTTCCATCCAAACACTACTCAAAGAAAAAAAGAAATTAATCCTGATAATATAACACTGACAGAAATGCTATCTAAACTAGCATCTGCTTTTGTAGAAACCTTAAACATTTTAACGATTATTTTAACATTGCCTGTTAGTACTGCTTCTAATGAACGCTTTTTTTCTACATTGAAAAGAGTGAAAAATTATTTGCGCTTAACTATGAGAGATAAAAGGTTAAGTGATTTAATGGTAATTGCAACTGAAAAGGAAGAAGCTGATACATTAGATCTTAATGAAGTAGTAGATAGTTTTGCTAAATTAAAATCTGGAAGATTTCCTTTATTGTAAATTGTAATTTATTTTATTATATTTAAATATACATTACTTAATTATTATATTATTTGGTTTATACACATTTTTATATCATAATCTATTAGGTAATTTAGTTTTTTTTTAGAGCGTTAATTGATCAGATGAACAGTTTTAATCAGTTATATTATCTAATTGATTATTGAAAAATTAGCTGTGGTGATCCATATACCTAATATTGTGTTATTTTTTATTGTTATTTGTTTTATACTATAATTTCTATAAAATGATCTACATTTACATAAAAAGTGTATTGAAAAAAATTCATGGGATGACTCGACCATACGAGTGACTGGTATTACTTAAGATTTTCAATATTGGTTTTGCATCCCATGAAAAAATGTGAAATGACGCCCCTGCTTAAATGAACAAGCCAAGTTTACTTGTTAGGTTATCCGTCTGCTCAAAGGGCAGGTATGCCCTCTCCCACGACCCCGAAGGTGTCACCCCCTCCCCCTTCCTTAAAGGGTAGCTATTTTAACCGGGTTTTGGGGGCCTCTTGGATCCCGAGTTTGGTGACCAGAACTGGTAGTCGAAGGGATCCTTATCCGAACTTACGTTACATTCACCATAATTAAAAAACGGCGTAAAAACGTAAAACCGTAAATTTTGGTAGGATGTAGTTTCCAAAATAATGACTTGCGTAAATCATTTTCCACCATTGTTCCTAACTTGTGTTGAAATACATGTTTCAAAAAAAAAATCGAGTGGGAACTAAACTGCAGTTAATCCTAGTAGACTAAGTAGAGTATATACTATTTTATATGTGGAAATCGGGAAATACACATACAATAACAATAAAATTGAAAAATAATAATATTTGCTTATGCTTATCAAGACTATAGACATCAATATGGTGTGTGGGATTATACTCGTATAAAGTAATTTATTACACAATGTGCCCTATAGTTGAAATATTTTTTTGTATTCTCACGTTTTTTGAGAATGATTATAAATCATATTAATTATCATAAATTCTTAATACTAATATTTAAATACATTTGGCGAATTATGGAAATTGAAATAATGTATATTATAATATATATTACGCTAAAATAAAAGGCTATTATATTATAGTATGTATAGGAACCTATAATAATTATAGGTATCTATTTATAAGGTAACTTATACCTAATATACTCGTTAAATGATATCGATCCATTAAATATGATTTATGGAAATATTCATGAAGTTATGTGGTCTAATTTATTATCCATAGGTAATAGGTAACTTTGATTTATAATTATAATAATGCAAAAAGCGAAAATTTATTTTATTATTATTAGATATTTATCTAAACTAGATGATGTTCTATTATTCTATTTCTGTAGTTTTTAAATTCTGAGTGAAGTGATGTGTTTATTCGTTTTACAGTTATGCAAGTTTTTCGTGGCTGTCATCGCCTATTGTGGAGCGATAGAAACTATTGAACTTCAATCATCAACTATTTTATGCTGGTTTATCGTTGAAAATTGAGACCATAATTGGTACCTACAACAATTCTAAGACTCTAGACTTCCCACTAACTAAGCCCCTCAGCCCGGCCTAGTCGCACTTATGCCGGTGACAATGATGTTATTTTTTAAAACTTGATTAATATTCTTTCGTAATCCAACGATCTAGACCAACATTCGGTTTCGGTCAACTTTAAACTAATTTTGAATGTCCGTACATGTCTAAAATGTGACATTCTGACTTTAGCAGTATGGCGCACAGTCGCACTGACGTGTAGACATGTGGTCGACTAAATTATTGTGGGTTGATACTTGATAGGCGACATAAACGTAGACGACGTAAACTACGAGAAAGATTGGTTTTGTTTAATGTTTAAAAATATTATTATAATAAATTGTTTTTTTTTTTTTTT